CCCCCTATGAAGCTGAAAGCCTTTGTGTCAGCAAAATTTGCCCAAAAAATGCAGGAAATAGCGTTTCAGAGAGTCTAGATTTCAAAAAACTTGAGGGAGAGCATGACTCCGGACCCCCTAGTAATAGGTCGCGCCTTCGGCGCAATGTTAAAGAGCAGATCTCGCCCCTCGTGCAAAATTTCATGCTGTATAGAGTCGATACAGGCTGTAGACAGAGTCTGTCGGTAATCGACAATATTTTTCAGCAAAGTAGGTAATTGTCCTAATCTCAAAGACAAAGTATCGACGGTTTTCATTGTAAATGCAAGAGTGGTTAACGATAGCGCCCCCTACAATTGTGGATTGTCAGTGAGGTCAGGATAAGGTCACATGAGGCTGCACATGTTATCACACCACGATACTCGGTTACGTCATGTCGCTATATAGGCTGGTGTATTTTTTGAACTTCAGATCACGTGGGGAATTGATTCGGCTGGTTCTGGCTGAGGCCGGAGTTAAATACGAAGTCGAACTGCTCGATTGGTATAAAGAATGGCCGGCATTGAAGAGCACGCCAGGCATTAGCAGTAAGTCGAATCAGTGTAGTCTATTCGAGGATACAATGACGTTGATAATGTTAATGTGTATATTCGGCAATTATACTTATTGTTATTTAGTGTTATAGTTATATAATGGTAATCATCGTAACCGAGTAGGTCGGTCTGACCATATAAACCTTGCTTTATACCCATTATATTCTACACGTTGTTTGTGAGGTCACAACTAATTCAATGTGCGCATGTCCATATAGTCAATGTGAGATATGACATAACGACGACGTCATCATTGGAATGACGCCATGCTATTTTAGACATATAGGAGTTACTGAACTTGTATGAATTACTTTATGCAAAAAATGGCCTAAACGGAAATGTTCGTTGGTGAGTGAGACATCTCGTCTTAGCTTCAAAACAGGATGCAAAGAATGTAGACTGAGCCCGATTCTGTTATAAACGTATTTGAAAATATACATGGAGTGAGGTCGCGTGTTTCGAAAAGAGTGAGTACACATGCTCCATATGTAACATCCCCACATAAATCATAATTAGATGTCTTCATAATACAAGGGATGATCTGTGTAATTATAGTGGTATCATATTTAACCGCAAGCTCGTTATTATTATATCTCAGGCCCGTAGTTTTTTTGTTTTTTTTT